CTTCTTGGCCAAGTAAATCTCTCTAATTCTGAAAGACCTTCAGGAAGTATTACCATTGCTGTTTCATCTTGAAAATGTTAGACCTTTTAATCTTGATAACATCTAGAAGTAGATTCCATGAGTTTCCTCAAAGATGCTGAGACTCACCAAGGTTGTCTGAATTGTCTAATGATGACAAATAACAGTAAAAGCCAACACACCCATAGCACTTACGAAGTGCCAGGCATCGTTTCATGTGTATTAAACCATTTAGTCCTTATTACAGCATATAGTGTAGGTACTGTTGTTATAACCCCCACCCTAGACATGACAGACTGGGAACAGTGTTAAATGGCAGAGCTGGGATTCACACCTAGGCACTCTGGCTCTACCTCAAATACTGTTAGCCACTTTGAAACCCCAGGCTTTTATTTAGTCATCCATCCATCACATGTACCAGGTGGCCATAAAGTCCATGTGCACTTTTAAATTGCACTCTATTTTAAATTGCATATGAACTTTATGCACTCTGTATATTAATCTACTATGAGCAGGTGCTAAGCCAAGGGTGCAAAGATGCATGGTTCCTGTCCTGAAGTCCCTGTCCTCAGAGTCTCTCAAGTGCAGTGGCTCACCCATCTTAATTTACACCCTGTGGAGTCTATGAGGATGTTAGAGGCAGTGGTGAGAGCACAGAGTATCCTCCTGATAGGGACCCAGAGGGCACAGTCCTGTCCAGGCTTCTATGTCTGATGATAGGAATGCCCACATGGGCCCCACATAGTATGAGGTCTGACAATTAAGTGTGTGAACAGATCCTAGAAAAAAATACTACATACCTCATTGTTGAATATCACTATAGTGACCTTCAAAGTACTCTACTTGAGAAGCTGTGCACTGATACCAGTGTCTAGTCCATCCTTCAAAGCAATTTTGAAAGTCTTTTTCTGAAATATCCATCGAAACTGTCATCGTATTACCCCTGCTATCTTGAATGTCATCAAAATGTCTTCCTTTCAACATTTCATTTATCTTTGGGTAAAGAAAAAGTCACTGGAGGCCAGATCAGGAGAGTAGCGAGGGTGTTCCAAGGCATTTATTTGTTTACTGGCTGAAAACCCCTCACAGACAGTGTTGTGTGAGCTGGTGCATTGTCGTGATACAAGAGCCATGACTTGTTGGCCAAAACCTTCTATTTTCAATTCAGATTTTCTTAACTGTTTCTCTATTAATGTTTACTTTGTCTGCTATGCTTTTCACAGTCAGCGGATGATTTTGGTGCACAATTTGGCGAATTTTTGCAATGTTTTCATCAGTTCTGCTCGTTACTGGCTAGTCTACCCTCTCTTTATCAATGACATTTTTTTCTCCCATCAGAAAGACATTGAATCCTTTTGTACACTGCCATTTTCTTCATGGCATTATTCCTATAAACTTGGACTAACATGTCCCTAATTTCTCTGCCACTCTTGCCAAAAAATTTAACAAGAAATTTACGAATGTTTATTCGTTGTTCTAATTCATGCTCTGACATTCTTGCAATGCACACAGAAACATGCAACAACAATGAAGGCCGCTCAGCAGCACACCCCCACACACCGACTAAACACAGCTAGGAGCACTGATATACCAAGGGTAAGAAACCTTACTGATCTGTTGGTACAGTGCTGCTAAAGTAAGCACATGGTGGCAAGTTGGGGAACTTAATTATCAGACCTCAGAGGTTCCCATGCAGTGGAGCCTTCTTCCCTTCCCTTGTAAGAATGGAGTTGCTCTCTAATAAATAAGCATCATAATGGTGGTCATAACTCACTCTTGGGTATTGGTAGAGTGACGGGAGGCCAGCCCTGGGCCTCGGGCATGGCTGGCTCCTTATTACAGCTCAGTCTGGTCCTGCATCCTCTGGCTGTGGCTCTAATCTCACAGTTAATGGGGCCCTGGGGGATGCTGCAGCCAGGGCCAGACCTCCCCCACCGCCCAGGGTGTTCAGGAATCCACACGACTCTCACCTGTTGAAGATTTTGCCAATTAGTCTTCCCTTCCAGGGCCCAGGCTTCCTTGGCATCTGCATCTGGTACCTCCACCTCCCAGGTCTGTGAGCTCTGGGGATCCTCCCTCCTCCTGCTTTGGGGGCCACGATGACCCTATGGTGCAGCTGAGACCCAGCAATGTACCCCGAGCTTGAATGCTGTCCTCTGGTCAGCAGGTAGGCTGGGGCCATTCCTGCAGCTCTGCTAGCCCTCTCTGGGCAAGATTTCCCTTTTAAAAATCCACATGAATGATCTGACATTGCTGAAGGGCTTCCCGGTTCTCCTCACTCCGTTTACCTTATCTACTCCACAGCCCAGGGAAGTCAAGCTCAGAAAACAGCAGGGGTGAGTTGTACAGCTGGACACAACAGAGCTGTCACCTGGACCCAGGTCCTGTGACTTCTTCCTGACTGCTGCAGTGATAAGAATCTGTCCTTCAGCTTTGAGGAGACAAAGAATAAGGCCACCTCATGTCATGGCTGGGGGACCTCAGTGTCCTTACAGACCTGCACTGTGCTTGAGCAAGGGCCTCAATCTTACCTTCATCACCTGGGGCCCGTTTAGAGGGTGAAACAGAGCCACTGGGAGACTCATGGAGAAAGCTGTCCTTGTTCCGGCTCTCACCTGGGCCTCTTGAGTGAGATGCCACAGAGGAAGGGACTCACAGGTCCCTGACTTTCTGGTAATTTAATGACCTGGATGACCAAATGCCTACTATCTTTTCATAGATGGCGGGTGATTTGCTTGTGTTTTGCCTAGCTGAGGGGAAGAATCGTGTTCAGTTCTGGGGGGTAAGTGGCTTAAAATTCCCTGGGTTAATGAGGCACGTGTTGGTGGCAGTGGGGGCAGGGCTTGGAAACCTGAACTGCCTCACTCCTTGCCTCTGTGCAGTGTGAACAATCTTTCAGCCTCATTGACCTGGAAAATGGCCATAATGGGTAAAATATGAAGTTTGCTGCTGGCCGAGATCCTGGCACCGCAATTTAGGATCAAGAATGTCAGGGCTGCCTACTCCTGGTGAGCCAGAGGCAGGGACGGTCAGAGGCTGGGAGGATTCCCGGCACCCCCCGTCTGCCCTGGAAGGCTGGTGGGAAGCTGCAGTTATGTCCTGTAGGAAAAGGGTACCACCTTCCCTCTGCCCAGACTTTTTCTCCTTCCCTTCTGTCCCTCCTTTTCCCTTTCCACCATCTGTCTCCTGTTCCACATTTTAGGGAAGAATGATAAAGATCAGACTCTATCTTGGAATCTCCCTCCTAAATTTGACTCCTTATTAGAGGGAGGGAAAGAACATTTGGCCTGGGCTGTTGAAGCAGACTTTGTGGGAGGGGCCCAAGGCTGTCACGGTATGCAGTGGACATCCACTCTGCATGTGGCCTGCTGGGGCTGGCCCCCACTGTTCCTGCTTCTCCTGGCTGCTGCCACCCCGGCGGGAGCGCGGGGAGATGCTGGGCACATGGTTTTCCAGGATGGTCAGTACTTGCCTGCCCACACCCCTCTGGGAGGAGCCCCCTGAAGCCCCAGACAGCCCAGTGTTGGCAAATTTCATGCAGTCCTGCTGGCCAGAGCCTGCCCAGTGCTCTCCAGATGCCTGTGCTTTTGGCTGGATTGAGGCCTTTAAAAAAGTGACACCTTATATTTTATTTCAGCCCTTTTTTCTGAAAAGTCCAGTGACGTTTACAGGCATGAGCACCATAGGTTTTATGGTAGCTCATCAAAAAACAGGGACCGTTTCCTTCGTCTTTATAGAGTGGAAAATGGAAGTGTGGGAAAGGAGTAACTCTTCTGAGGCCACATGGTTCTTCCAAGAAACAGTGAAAAATCCCGTGTAAGTTCCTGGCACCTCAGGGAGGTCGGTGCCAAACCAAAGCTGCTTGTGGGGAGGTTCAAGGGCTTCCTACTGGCCTCTGGCCACTGTCAGGTCATCACCATTCCCTGGAAACCGGCTGAGACCCTGTTACGTGAGGAATCTGGAGGCCCAGTACAAAAAAGGGAGAGATTTGTCCAGAAGTACAGTGGGGGAAACTGACCCCAGGGCTTTCCTGTTGGTTCCTGAAGCCTGAAACTACTTCCCTGAGTCAGGAGCAAGAGTTGGGTCAGTGTATCTGCTTAGGGAATGTTCTCTCTAAGGAATACTAGTAGTGTTCCCATCAAAAGTGGCTTACAGAATAATACATTTGGGAAAGGCTGAGGTAAAGTTACATGCATTTCTTCCGAAAAAGACTTTGTAGCCTTCTTATAGAACTAATCATTATGACTCTGGTCAAGGATCTGGGACTGTTTCCCAGAACCTTGTCTGAGGAGCCCTTTTTGTGTAGAGTATCTTGTGTAGAGCTGGGGTTTCACACATGACACTGTGGGAAAGGCCAGTGTCGGCATGACAAAGCCAGGGCTCCCCATCTTTGCTGTGTTCTAAAAAAATAGGGAGTCTGAGATGGGAGCTAGTGAAGCACCCCTCTGGCCCACTGAGTGTAGTCCTGAACCCCCCATTCCTCCTTTCCCACAGATCATGTGTGCCCACCTTTTTTGACATGATAGTGTTACTCATGTGTCAATGCTTCTGGTTCCCTATTCTACACTTTTGAGTCTTCACCTGTGTGTCTGCATGATGTGTATAGATATGGAGACCACATCCTTCTCATGCCTGAGCAGCACTGTCTAGAGCCCCTACCTTGGGCTAGCCCTGGACTTTTCCATGGTGGCAATGATGGGCCATCACTGCCACCAAGATGGTGCCTGCAGGGCTTGGGGAAGGGGTGGGGAGCTACAGTGCATGTGGAAAGAGACTGGGGGATTTGTGTTTTTGCCACAATCCTGCGGCCACCTGCTCAGCTGACTAATCACAGCTGACCTAGTTTCCCTGGAGCTCAATAAGGAGGGATTGGTATCAGATGGTCCCTCTCTATGGATTCTTCTAGTTCTATGGATTGTGGACTTAATACTTCTGCCAATTCCCCTGACACTCCCCTATAATTTTTCCCTTTTACTTTTCAGCTCTTAACCATTGATGATAACTTCTGTGGCCTGGACATGAATGCCCCCCTGGGAGTGTCCGACATGGTGCGTGGAATTCCTGTTTTCACAGAAGACAGGGACCGCATGACTTCTGTTATCGCCTATGTCTACAAGAACCACTCTCTGGCCTTCGTGGGCACCAAAAGTGGCAAGCTGAAGAAGGTAGGAAGGAGGTGCAGTCCCTCTGGTCATTGTGAAGGCAGTCTCTCCCCACTGGGACAGATACTATTTCATGTCTTTTTTTTTCTACTGTGGGCCCGTCGGGCCTCTGTGATCCAGATTTGAGCTAAGGAGATTTGTGGCTATTGAGGTTGTGATCATTCACCTTGTTCTTTCTCTGCCTCCATGCTGAAGTTTTGAGTGAGTGTGAGGATTCACCTCCTCCCTAGAGCTGGTGTGCATGTGAAAAGCATTCGTCCAGGCCTAGTAGGTTGTTCTAAATGGCTGACATACTCTGTTCAACTTGGGCTTGAGCCCTAAGGCAAGCGCTTTGTTAGGTCTAGGTGATTGGGCAAGGAGGCAGGTGAAATGTTCCTCTTGCCCCAGTCTCTCTGGCTGCTGCCTTATTTGGAATCCATTCAGGGAACAGATAGAGGAAATGGAGGCCTATTAGAATCACTAAGGGGGCTCACAGCCACGCTGTGGGTGAGGAATTCATGGTGTGGTAGGAGCATGGAAACTGCTTATGATGTGGCAGAGTGCTCTGCCTTGGGGACCGGGCCTTTCCTCCTCATCCTCCAGATGCTGCTGGCTTTGGGACCACTGAATGATCCTGGCTCTGTGTTGGAATATCCAGGAGTGTTCTATTCTTGGACTTCTTATCTCCATGAGTTGGAGCTGACCCTAGAATGTGCTCTCCTGGATTGAGTTAAAAGCTTTCTGAGACTGTAGGCAAGAGGCCCTGACTTCTGCCACCAACCATCGCACTGCAGCCTGCCACACAAAGGCTGTATTTCCTTTCTAGGAAATACGATGGTTCCACGTTGAGGTTGGGCTGGCCTCGTGTAGGCTTCTCTTGGAGCCCCTGGACATTGTGTGGATGCAGCCTGTGTCTGGAGGCACTGCTGGGCTGAGACTGGGCCCTGATCCTCCTTTCACCTTTGCTGTGTTTCTGGGTGTTAGCTCTGGCTGGCCAGGACGAGGTGTCTGTGCCTATTTAGTGGACTGCACCTGCTTTGTCCTCCTCCTGTGTGCAGTCAGCAGCCATTCCTGTGAGTTGACGTCCCCGTGGAGCAGGTTGTGGGACTGGAGTGTGAGGGTGTGGGAGGTGACAGGGGAGGGGCACAGCATGTGTGAGCAGGGGAGGTCTGTGCAGAGCAATGACAGGGGTCATATCTGGGACTAGAAAGCAGGAGCACTGGCGAGTCGCTGTGCCACTCTGCAAGGACCATGCACACAGTCTGCCATGCGTCCAGTCCTGTCCAGGAAGAGGCAACCACCAAATTTGAGGGTACTGTCTCCAGTGTCACAACTAGAAAACAATTTAGCCATCCTCTGCATATCTTTAAGAATCGTATTTCATAGTTTCCTGCCTATCTGAGAAGAATGTAGTGGATGCAGCTGAGCCTTTCTTTGCTGCTGTGGCCTCTTAGTTGTGGTTTCTGCTCACATATCAAACTGAGTTTCCTGGACTCCCGGAGAAGACTCTGCGCCGTGTGGGCATGTTTCCTGCACAGGTGCTGCATGGGATCTTTGCAGCCTTCCTGGTTCTTCCTGTCACTCGGTCCCGCTGAGGAGAGAGGTGCATGCACTCGGGCAGGGACCTTGTGGACATTTCTGTTGGTCCCCAGACCACACAGTTCTTCACAAGGATTCAGTGAGTTCGCTTTGCTGGAAAAGTGAGTTCTGAATACTAGAGGCGTGACCATGTACAAGTCACACCACATGATGTCTGTGACCTGCTTTGCTCACTCCAATGGGTGAGTGAGCCCTACGAGGGTAAATAAGCAAGGCAGTTTGGGGGTGCACTAACTCCTTTCTCCAGCAAGCCTGACCTCAGTGCCATGGAGAAGTGACCTCCTGCCTTACCCTGAAAGGTTCCCACCCACTGAGTTTCCTGCCAGCTGCTGGAGGATCCTTCACCTGTTGGCAAGACAGAGTGGACCCTGGAGGAGTTTTCTTATTATTGTCTGAGCTGGTTGGACAGTGAGTGATGTCAGGAAAATGAACACTGAGAGTTCAGAGCATGTAACAGGTCACTTATTTGCTCTTAGAAAAAAAAGAAGACACGTTTCCTGGCCACAGCTGCATTGCAATCCGAGACAGTCAACTTGCAGATGTGCACTCTTGGTCTGAGGGTGGGTTGAAGTAGATGGTGGCTAGTACCCTCTTGCCTGTGAAAGACTGTGCCCAGGGGGCCAGTGGGGATGAGGAGGTCCAGCAGCCTGGGCACACAGTACACTCAGACAACCCTTCTGGGCAGGCCCAGGAGCAGAATCCAGCAGCCAGCTGGGCAGCAGTGACAGGCCACACCCAAACTGGAGCTTGGGCCTTCATTAAACTACTCCTTGGTATTTCCCACCTTTGCCTCTAGTGGGTTTATATGAGAACAATTCTGTTCCAGCCACTTGGGATGTGTGTCTAATTTCCAGAGAGGTGGTGGGGCCAGCAAATCATAAACATTTGAAAGGCAAGGGTGGAGGGGCTCTGGGGGAGGAATGAGCCCCAGTCCTCCAGGGGAAAGCCAGGCCACAGGGCAACCAACCTTTCTGCTCCCTGGGCTCACAGTGGCAGTTTTTTAATTGTTCTGCTTGAGTTCATCTCTGGCTTTTGCAGGCTCAGTACAGGCAGCCTAGGGGGACAGTCTGAGTTGGGAAAGGAAGGCTGGGCCGCCCAGTCTGTTGTTTGAAATAATAAAAAGCAAAAGCAGCTGGTTTATTTATTTTTCCTAGACAATAGCATTCCTGAGCGCCCCTTGCTCACTGAACACCACGCCCCTTTCCTTGCAATAACTCTGAGTTGCTGTTCCCAGAGGTTATCAGGACCACAGTCACCCTTTGGGCAGAAGCCCAGCCACAGCAAGCTGTTGGGCTGCAGGAGGGCGGGAGGATTGTGCTGGAAGTTTTGTGAGCGCCTGAGACCAGGGTGTGAGAATAATGGAAATCATACTGTAGCCGTAATTACAGAGTTGCCTTCTCTGAGCCCTGTAATAATCTCCTGTGTGTATCGAGGACCTTTCAGAGTTCTTTGCAATATGACAAGAGACTTGAAGTGGGGGTGAAAGTGCTTGGGTGGGAGGGGGCTTGGCGGTTTGCTGAGAGTAGGGGGGTTTGCTGTGGGTTTCAGGGGCCCAGAGCTAGACTGAGCTATCTGTAGGCAGCCCTGAAATTACTGACTTTTCATTTTGTTTGAAAGGTGTGGGTGCCAATCATTTGCAACCTTGCCTTTGATGACCATAATTTCACTCCTTTAGTGCACACATCACATGAGGCAGGGGGAAAGGAGGAGATGAAAGTACCAATTTGGATGTCTTTTATGTTTTCTGATGTGTGTGTGTTATGGGTGGTACATAGCAAGTGTTAAAGCCATGTGTGGCTATGGCATGTGGTGTAGAAATCCTACAGACATCATGAGGTGTCTAGAAACTTAGAAGTAACCCATGGGCTGTTAACATTTTAATGATAGGTAATGATCTTAAGGCAAATACCATCATCGTGCCTTGCTTTAGGGTCAAGTAAACCTAAAGCCTTTGACCCACATTGGGGTCACGAGGTCAGGGTTGTCTCAGAAGGACATCATTTCTTTGCTTAAATATTTCTGCTGGAATCCTTTTCCTCTGTCTCTGTCTTTCCCTGCCTCTTGCTTGCTTTTTACTAAGTGATCATTTTTGTGGCTGCTTTTCAGTAGTGAATTACTGTTGGGCGTTAGTGGGAGAGACTAGTATTCACTGTAAACAAAAACATCGTAAACTTCTGCTTGGAGTGTGATTGCTTATTTTCTTCTGTGAGGTTCTGTGAGTGCATCTTTCCTGGGCTAACCCTTTTGCACATCAGGGGCAGAGCACCCTTGGAGATGCTGGTTAAGCCAAACCCTGGCGGCTATCAGCCTGTTGCAGGGCCTGAGCTCAGGTGTGCGTGCACGGGCCAAGGCGCTTCAGCCTCTCTGGGTAGGAATTGGGCACACGTCCGTGTGGAAAGTCAATAGGAGTAGATAACACAAAAACCCTTCTTATTGGGAATTGTTGTGCAGATTAATTTAATCTTCTTGACTTTTTTTTCTTGAGTGTATTTTAAAATTAATTTGCTTGTGTTCCCTAGACCCTCTGCATGGGTCCATAAGGGGTAGTGGGAGACCACCTGGGCTTGAGGGCTATTCTGAACATCGCTTCTCAGGAAATGATGCTGCGTGTGTGTGCGTGTGTGTGTGTGTGTGTGTGTGTGTGTGTAATACTGGAACGGCAAAGCAGTATCAGATCAGAGTCCAGCTCCTGCTTTGCTGCTTCCTAAATGTATCTAGGAATTTGTTTTAAAATTCCTTTGGAAATTCAAATCCACTTTAACTAAAAGTAAATTCATGCCGCGTGAAGCTATCCTGATGGATGGAAATGTCAGGAAATCAGAAAGACAGCAGTGCTGGGACTCCACACTGCCGAGGCACCTGTGATGAGGTGGAGGGAGAGGACCTGAGGCAGGGCTGGGGCAGGTAGCTCCGCTCTGCCACACAAGCAGATAGGAAAAGAAACGTGGCAGAATCTGTGCTGACTAATTTCCGTGAAGGAAAAAGACCGTCAGAGGATTTTTGTCCGTTTTCTCTGTATTGTTTCTGTATTTTCCACCTCTGGTTTTGCAAATATTAAGTCTGCTTGGATCTCAACCTTCGAGTTTCATGAAGGAGAGGCTGAGACTGAAGGTGTTCCAGGAGAAGAGTCTGCAGACCAGTGGTGCCACCTCCTGCCCGACGTCACATCTGACCAGGGACAGAGATGTGATCTGTCATGAATCCTTGCTACCTCAGGCCACTTTTGCCTGATGCCAACCTATCCATTTCTCATGGGCCATTCTCCTTCCCTTCAATCTCTTCTGCTGTGTTTAAGTTTTTTTCCATGTTGTGCCCAGTAGATCTGGAGAGGAACTCAGCTGATCGATGTCCTCTGAGCATATTTTATATTCTGGAGCACTGTTAAGCCCTGGCTCAACCATCCTTTTAATAGAAGTGCATCCCGC